TATATATATTTATATATAATATATTATTTACAGACTTCTTTGACGAATACCAAACTTCGAACGATAAATATTAAAGCAAGTCGCGTCTTCGGTCAACTTTATTATTGCAAAAATCACCATATTGGAACAATATTTTACTGATTGCGGCTGTCATCAGCATTTTAAAGGTAAGGAATTTTAATTCGGCTAAAAAAAAGGTATGCTTATTCAAAGAAAATACGTTCTTGTGTCTGATTTCGTCACTTATAGTATCTACTGTACTAATTAATTATCATATTTGAGGTCATTCCCGTGAGCCATTAAGCTTGAGCCCTAGTACTAGAATTTTCATGCATTTGCATCAGATTTGCATCTTAGAGATCAAATCTGCATCTTTTAGATTTCATCACATTCGATTTTTTCTTTCTTTGATAATTGTAATTATTTGTTATCTAGCTTAAGGGGTCACAGTACCCTTGTAACAATTATTTTAAATAAAGGTATAATCATTCTTTTTGTGACTGATTTGCATGCTCATTTAACTTAAAATCAATATCTTCATCTTATCAAATTTATCTTCAAAAAATGATTAAACTGTTTAACTTTCTAAACATTAAAAAAAAAATTGAAAAAATTTGAAATTTTTGAATATTTAAACAAATTTTGTTATTTTAAAAAATAAAAAAATAAAATATATATATAAAAAGAATTTTGTTATATAAAAAAATTTTGTTATATTAAAAAATTTTGTTATTTTAACAAATTTTCGAAGAAAAAATTTTTTTTGTGCTTGCAATATTCATTTTAAAAACTTTGTACATTCATTTGTTGATATATCCATTAGAATATTTTTTATAGATTTATTTTGTAAAGAAGTAGAAAAAAAAGGTTAAAAATTCTTGCTTGGTATATATAACATGCTGTAAAAATTGTAATACCTCATTAAATGCTTATTCCATTCACAGTTTAAATAAGTGTATTAATTATACTTAAGATAAAAAAGTTTACTTCAAAGCTTTATCTTAAATAGAAAGAACTCCTTTTGGATTTAATTGAAATTAAAACACAAAATTATCATCCATGAGAAAAAGCACTTTAAAGTCTGTCTTCTGAGCAAGCTTCTGTATTAGGGCAATTTAAAATCATTCATAACTTTTTTAACAATGTAGATAAATAAATGATTTGTTTCGGTGCATTTGAAATAGTTTGAAGTTTTATTATAAGCAATTAAAAAATGTCAATATTTTGATCATTTTTGGGTACTGTGACCCCTTAAAAAAACGGCTCATACTTTTATGGGTCTCTATGTTAAGAAACATACACTAAATGAAGCTGAATAAAAATGAAAAAAAATAGATATAATTTAATTTTATATGTTTTGCAATTATAATAGATTTTTAATAAACAATGTTACTTTTTTTCGAAATAAACTTATCAAATTTCAAAAAGAACTGTTTTTTTACTTACATTTTGAGGAATTTTATCAAAACATATTTTTTCTTCTTCGAGTACTTCTACAAATATATAATAAAAGCCTTTATTAACATTTATGATTTTTCTAAAGCATTTATAATTTTTCAAAATATAATAGTACTAAATTTCTAAACGAAGCTGGCAGCTCTCTATCTGCATATGACACCTAAGATTGTTATATATTTATGCATGGTATCTAAATTTACACCTGCAGAAATGGTATCTAAAATTATTATTTGCTTATGTGTGGTATCTAAAATTGTTACATATATTTATCTACGGTATCTAAAATTGTTATATTTTTATGTATGACATCTAAATTTATACCTATATGTATGGTGTATAAAATTATTTTACACAGTAATTCAAAAAATTCTGCATCGTTTCATGTTTAGTTATTTCTTAGAAAAAGTAAAAAAATTTCATGCTGCAAAAATTCAACACAAAAATATCTTTTTATAAACTAGTAATAACAGAAATATGATTGTCTGATTGACATCAAGAAAGTTTTGAATCCCAGGAAAATTTTGAAAATAGCTGAGTACGTTAAAAAAGAAATATAGTTGCAGTGTTAATTAAAAACAGATAAAATTGCCGAGTTATTTAAAATTGTAAAAACTAACGGTGTAAGTTAAAAACTAAGCAAATTTTGAAGTTTATAAATTTTTTTTTCAAGTTTATAACAGTAAAAATCATGAAATACAATAGGGATAAATTTATAAATAAATGATTAAGAATGTCAAAAATTGTCTATGTTTTTATTTATATAAAAGAAATAATTAATTTGTGAAGGAGTTATGAAGACATGTTGGTTGCGTCCCTCACTCTACCACCCACAGATTATTTTATTTTTTCTGAGTTTTCTCCTAGTTATGAAAATAGAAGTATGCAAATAATTTTATTATTTTATTTGAGCTTACTTATGCTTGCTTTGAATGCATTTTAAGGTACCAAAAATTTCCTAAATAGATTTCTGCAGAGTGGAGAACTCTCCAGAGTAAAAAATAGATTTATATTCTTTAAATATACGAATATTAATAATGTAAGATATAAAGAATATAAAATAAGAATAATTTAGACAATACAGTAGCATCGGCTATACTGCGTAAAACACAAACAACACCAGATACTTTTAGATGGTTCCTTGGGGTATTCCTCCACTTTTCCTTCGAGGTTAGTATCTTCCTTACCTGTACTATGCATGATTCTTTATCGCCTTACGAGATCATCACCAACAAAACCAATTATTTTTATTTTTTGAAATGGCGGATGCTATTTAGGCAAAGTATGAAATAATCGTCCTGATGAGGTTATTATGCAAATGATGTGCATGTTACTGTGAATGACCGAAATCGGTGGTTGTTGACTTTCACCGGTGAATGTTGAAAATTAAATTAGTCGCTTTGGTGAATGTCCGAAATATTTATTACATCCGATTTGATATTAACTTATTCGTGGATATACTAATTACATTTATTCCATATTTTAATACTTACTGACGATAGATTCGAACAAACATCTATGTTTGGAGTATCGGGCAAATGTATACCGGGCAGTGGCACTTGACTTTAAAAAAACATATAGAAGTATTGCCTGTGAGACATTATTCGAAATAATAACGAACTTTAGCCACCTTGATGTAAGATGTTCTAAATTGAAATCACGTCCCTGTGATCATGATGGGGTGCTGGAGTAGGAAAGGCTTGTCTCCTCTGTATAATACCGTGGAGTCATGAATCGCGTTATCATGTATATGTGAACGCGGTTCTGAAGGAGTTAAATTTATCCCCCTTTTACCACTACTCATTACTCCAGCATAACTCCAGTAACTTCCAGTTTTGTTCACGTTAAATACTCAGAATAATAAATATTTTATATTTTTATTAAAAACTGTGCTATTTTTATAAATTTCTATACCATTTTATTTTACTATGTTAACTCCGTCAAATAAATTTTCCACTGATAACATANCGAAATAATAACAAACTTTAACCACCTTGATGTAAGATGTTCTAAATTGAAATCACGCCCCTGTGACCATGAAGGGGTGCTGGAGTAGGAAAGGCTTGTCTCCTCTGTATAATACCGTGGGTCATGAAGGGAGAATCGCGTTACCATGTATATGTGAACGCGGTTCTGAAGGAGTTAAATTTATCCCCCTTTTACCACTACTCATTACTCCAGCATAACTCCAGTAACTTCCAGTTTTGTTCACGTTAAATACTCAGAATAATAAATATTTTATATTTTTATTAAAAACTGTGCTATTTTTATAAATTTCTATACCATTTTATTTTACTATGTTAACTCCGTCAAATAAATTTTCCAGTGATAACATATCTCGCATTTAATGTAAAAATATTCACAAATTAATCCACATTAAGTTTAAATACTCACAAATTAAAAATTTTAAAGGTAGTGAACTCATAAATATATTTTATTTTTTTCATGTTTACAATTTTAATAGACAAAAAAATCCCAAAGAAATAGAAATGCGGTATTGATGAAACGACCCTGTCGAAGAAATGATCCTGTCGACAAAAATAGTCTGTCGACGAGATGATCAAATCTTCATAAATACGCTGTTGACGAATTGATCATGTTTAAAAAATTAGAATGACATGTTGAAAAAGCAACTTGTCGACGCTGCGAAATATTCTATTGTCGAAGAGTCCTGTCGACGAATCGACCTAGTCCAGTCAAATGAACACGATTCGTACCGTTTACATCTATAATCAGGTTTGAGAAAAACTGTGTCCTGTCAACATATGCAATTAAAATAACAAAGTGTATCTTTCAAGACACTATTAGAATTTCATATTTGGACTATTTGGTACCTAATAATCCCTTTTGCAAAAAAATAATTTTTATAGTAATCGAAAATTAAATAGAAATTCAGAAAACAAGTCTGTAGATGAAGTTGCAATGGTAACCGAGCAAAATAATTAGATTTGAATTTTATCTCAATAAAATCTGGAATTAAATTTAGGTTATTACAATGAAAATTTTTGGGATCTTTTAATTAAATAATTTTTGATTTCCTTGTAAAAATCTGTCTAAAACAAATTATTTTTTTATTAATAATTAACTACTTTATTTATCGAATTATTGTCAAAGAAAAAAAAATGATTGCTTAGCAACCATAGCAATTGGTGAGCGAAGTAAGCTGGGGCAGGGAGCAGGAACCCTAGCAATGTAATGAAAATCTTGTTACAAACCTACAGAAAACATTTTAACAAGATGTAACTATTACAGAAAAAAAATCTTACCACAGTCACAATATTGTAGCATCATGCAATCTAAGAAAGGACCCAAAGTAGATCCCATTGCTTGTTGCAATGCACTTTTCAAAAAACTCAAATCAAACGCGTTGACGCATGCAACAGTAACAAGGACGGAAATTAATTTACAAATGGTTAACATTTTCGTACTCCTACGTCGATATAAATATTGTTTTCGGAAAAAAAAATTCTGCTGATTTATTGTTGAGGAATATCATTTAAATACTAACACTTTTTCCTCTTAATTGTGCGTGAATTCGAATGCAACTGAATAAACATAAAACTCAATTTTAAATTATACTTAGAAAATGAATGAATGAATAAGTTGATAATTATGATTTTTTAAATATTTTCTGTTTCCCTACACTTTTTTCCTTTCATTCTATTGCCAAGCTTCATCCTCCACGCCATTTTTTTTTCCATACAGATTTTGTTACTAAGAATAACAAAACAAATTTGAGTACTTAAAATAAAAATGTGTTATCTTTGGTCTTCCATTTTATTCATAGATAAGCGTACAATGCACAATTACAATTAGTATGTATGGAATTTCAGTACCTATTAACTGAAACAAGTTTGGAAAATAATTTCATTTCTTTTTCTTCTGAGTCACTACAGCCTGTCACTAGCTCAGGCTATCCCATGTAGTTTCTGCCATCTGGTCCCATCAAAGTCAAGGTTCATCCAGTTTCCCTTACTCCTCATTTAATTACCTGAGGCCTGACATCAGGCTTGAGACGTCGACGTTCTTTAATTCTCCTAGCCTGCTTGCTTGTCAAGATTTAATGCCTCATTGTTATAGGTGCTCTTTTAATGGCCAGAAAGTCACCAGTTTTCCCGCATTAATTTTCACATCTTTTTGTCGTCATCAACGTAAAACTAAAAAATCGCACAACTGTTTTTTTTTTTTTTTTTTTGAAAAATATTTTTGCATTCCAAATTTAAAGGCATTCTAGCAATATTAATTTTTCTTCTTTTCCTCTGATATTATTACGAGGGTTGTTTTTTTTTTTTCAACCTCCTATGGGCTGTAAAGAAAAGACGGGTCAATATACAAAAAAGATTTTATTACCGAAAGTAATGTACAATACAGGTTATTTCTCTACATAATCACTATGACGATTAAGGCATTTGTCATATCTGTGAACAAGCTTTGCAATACGCTCTTCATAAAGTGTAGCCGCCAATGATTGGAAGTGAGTTGTGACGGTTTCTTTGAGCTCCACGTCAGTTTGGAAGCGCTGCCCTCCACGCCACTGCTTCAATTCAGAGAAAAGATGATAATCAATCGGTGCTAGGTCGGGACTGTACGGTGGGTGTTCGAAAATGTCCCAATTAAATTGCTGAAGAAGTCGTTGTCCTGTATCAGAACAATTCCAGAAGTCAGATTGCTTCTTCGTTTGTTTTGAATAGCTCTCCGTAAGCGTCGCAAAGTTTCACAAAATGAATCTGCATTAATTGTTGTTCCAGGCTGCATAAACTCCACAAGCAACACACCTTTTTGGTCCCAAAAACAGTTGCCATAATCTTACGGCTGTTGAAGGTTCGTTTGAATTTTGTGGGTCTCGTTGGAGAGTTTGTGCGCATCCATTGTTGTGATTGTCGCTTCGTTTCGGGAGTGTCATATTGAATTTCTGTCTCAGCAACTGTCACAATGGATTTCAAAAAATCTTCTCCATCAGTATTGTAACGGTCAAGAAAATCCAAAGCTGCACCCATTCGGCGAGTTTTGTGGTTGTCAGTCAACATCCTTGGGGCCC